CTGTGCTGATGCAGAGCTTCAAGGAGTCCCATTCCCACGAGTCCCTGCTGAGCCCCAGCAGTGCAGCCGAAGCTCTGGAGCTGAACCTGGATGAAGACTCCATCATCAAGGCTGTTCACAGCAGCATCCTGGGGCAGGAGTTCTGCTTCGAGGTATGGACCAGAGCCTGGCCCCTTCCCGGCCATCCCCATGGTGTCCGGTCACCTCCATGGATAGCTTCAAGGAGTCCCATTCCCACGAGTCCCTGCTGAGCCCCAGCAGTGCAGCCGAAGCTCTGGAGCTGAACCTGGATGAAGACTCCATCATCAAGGCTGTTCACAGCAGCATCCTGGGGCAGGAGTTCTGCTTCGAGGTATGGACCAGAGCCTGGCCCCTTCCCGGCCATCCCCATGGTGTCCGGTCACCTCCATGGATGATGCATGGATGGATGGATGGATGATAGATGGATGATGGATAGATGATGGATGATGGATGGATGATGGATGGATGGATGACGGGTGGATGGATGATGGATGGATGGATGGATGGATGGATGGATGGATGGATGGATGATGGATGATGGATGGATGGAGGTTCTGACCATCATCAAAACCCCCCCAAGGTGACCACGGCTTCCGGGACCAAGTGCTTCGCCTGCCGCTCAGCCGCTGAGAGGGACAAGTGGATTGAGAACCTGCAGAGGGCTGTGAAGCCCAATAAGGTGAGGGGGAAGCTGGTGGGGATGGGCAAGTGGTGAGGATGATGATGGGCAAGTGGTGAGGATGATGATGGCCAAGCAGTGGGGGTGATGGTGATGAAGTGATGAGGATGGTCAACTGGTGGTAGTAGAGATGGTCAATTGATGGAGATGGTCAAGTGGTGGGGATGATCAGCTGATGGGATGAGGATGGTGGGGATGAGGATGGTCTGTTGGTGGGGATGCTCAACTGGTGGGTGATGGTCAGTTGGTGAGGATGAGGATGGTCAACTGGTAGGGATGGGGATGGTCACTGGTAGGGATGGAGATGGTCATTGGTGGCGATGGGGATGGTCACTGGTGGGGATGGGGATGGTCACTGATGGGGATGTTCAACTGGTGGCGATGGGGATGGTCACTGATGGGGATGGTCACTGGTGGTGATGGGGATGGTCACTGGTGAGGATGGGGATGGTCACTGATGGGGATGGTCACTGGTGGTGATGGGGATGTTCACTGGTGGGGATGGGGATGGTCACTGGTGGCGATGGGGATGGTCACTGGAGGTGACATCCCCAGGGTTCCCCCTGGCCCTTGGCGGGTCCCTGCTCTTGGTGACCACTCTCATCCAGCCTTTCCCCCTGGTGTCCCCCTGGCTGGCGGCCACCTGCGATGTCCCTCACCCATCCCCACCTCCTTGAGCTGGTCCTACCCGCAACGTCCTCATCCCACAATCCCCCCTTTAGGACAACAGCCGGCGGGTGGACAACGTCCTGAAGCTGTGGGTGATCGAGGCGCGGGATCTGCCTCCCAAGAAGCGCTACTACTGCGAGCTGTGCCTGGACGACATGCTCTACGCCCGCACCACCAGCAAGGCCCGCACCGACAACGTCT